GAAGAAAATGCCAAAGAGGACCTACATTACTCAGGAGGAAAAGGCACTCCCAGGACACAAGCCTATGAAAGACAGGCTAACTTTAATGTTGTGTAGTAATGCTAGTGGGGATTGCAAAGTGAAGCCTTTACTCGTGTATCACTCTGAAACTCCCAGTGTGTTCAAGAAAAACAGTGTCGTCAAGGCTAATTTGTGTGTGTCATGTGGAAAGCAAACAGTAAGGCATGGGTCACCAAGGAAATTTTCCTGGACTGGTTTTATGGTGTATTTGGCCCCACTGTGAAAAATTACCTCCTGGAAAATAGATTGCCACTCAAGTGCCTCCTGGTAATGGACAATGCTCCTGCTCATCCTCACGACTTGCAAGAGCAAATTGTGGGGGAGTTGAGCTTCATCAAAGGTAAGTTCTTGCCTCCTAATACAACTCCTCTCCTCCAGCCCATGGACCAGGTGGTCATTTCAAACTTCAAAAAACTCTACACAAAAGCAGTGTTTCAAGTGCTTTGAAGTGACCTCAGACACTGAATTGACCCTAAGAGCGTTTTGGAAAGATCACTTCAGTATCCTCAATTGCATAAACTTTATAGGTAAGGCTTGGGAGGGAGTGACTTGCAGGACTTTGAACTCTACTTGGAAAAACTGTGGCCACAATGTATACAAGAGGGATTTTGAAGGGTTTGGGGCTAACCCTCAGAAGCCTATGCCAGTTGTGGAATCTATTGTGTCATTAGGGAAGTCCATGGGGTTGGAGGTTTGTGGCAAGAATGTGGAAGAGTTGGTGCAGAATGACGATGAAGAACTAACCACTGCAGAGCTGCAAGAGCTTGAGGTGCAACAGCAACAGATCACAGCTCAGTAATGTTCTTCAGAACAGAAGAGACAGAGGAAGATGCCTTTGTCAAGGATTAAGGAAATGTGTACAAAGTTTACAAAGGTGCAAGCATTTATGGATGAATTTTATCCTGTCACAGCTGTTGCAAGCCGTATTGGCAACATGTACAATGACACTCTTTGTGTCCCATTTTAGAGAAATCCTAAGGGGACATGAGAAACAGAGCTCTCTGGACAGATATTTTGTCCGACAGGGGTCCAGTGACTCAAGCTGGTCCTAGTGGCATTAAAACAACAAGAAGGGAGGTAACCCCAGCAAAGGACTTGGTACCTGAAGTCTTTATGGAAGGGTATTCCCCTTCCAAATAATAGTACACCTGAATCTCCCCTGCTCCTGGCTCATCACTCATCAACAACTCCACAATAAAGTTAAGTGGCATTTAATTATTGTTTATTTTGCATGTACCATTGGTTTCTGTGTAGAGAAATGTATATTTCATGTAAAAAAAATTTTTTTTAATACTTTTGGGTGTCTCGAACAGATTAATTCTATTTCCATTATTTCTTGTGTGGAAAATTAATTTGACTAAAGGCTAGCTCTCTGGAACGGATTAAAGGCGTTAGTTGAGGGTCCACTGTATATTTCTTGTGTAAAATTGACCAGATTACTGAATTGTGCACTTTAAATAGTTGAATGAGAGGGTTTCTTGTATTCAACCAACAGACCAGAAGGCATACTAGAGTAAGTGCTAAGAATTTGGTCGAATGGAGCAATGGAATCGTCTTAAAATAGGACTCAAAGTGGGCAATGAGTAAATGACACCAAGACCACTAACTCTGCACCTGCATAATTCCACAAGTGTTCCATCAAATTTCATAATTTTCATGTCATTACCTGTCCAGTGTGGAACCCGACACCTGAGGAAGCATGTTAAGAAACTGGAGAAAGTACACAAGTATGCAACAAGACTAGTTCCAGACTTAAGGGGCACGAGTTATAAAGAGAGGCTAAAGGAATTGAATAATGACCCTGAGAAACAAAGGTCCAAGGAAGACAATGTACAAAATACTCAAGAGGAATTGATAAGGCAAACAGGGACATGCTGAAAGGTAGGAAACAAGTACTAGGGGGCACAGCTGGAATGTAGACAAAGATGAGTGACAGGGATGTCAAAGGATTTCTAGTTTCATGGCTGTCAGGACATGGAATGCTCTCAAGGAAGAAGTGGAGAAGGCAGACTCCATGCACAGGTAAGATGAGGCTCACAAGGCTACGGAGTGAATCTGGCAAGCAACAAGTTAAGTTGGGGCCAGGAGCCAAGGATAGACCCCCACAACAACACATGTACATACACATGTACACACACATGCACATACATGCATGTGTGTACTACATACATGTACATGTATGTGCAATTTTTGTACTTTATTATAACTAACGAGTAAACCTGTTACCCCAAAAAACCTTTTGCAATCCAAAAAACCTGGCATAATTATATTCCATCATTTACAACAATTGGACAAATGTCAAATTCAGCAGTTATGTGTCTACCACTGCAGTGGTTTCTATTTACAAATACACTGCAGTATCCTCTCAAAATCTATATTTTTACTATTGAAGTACACCTACCATCCGACTTACGACCTGCTCGACTTACGACCACTCGACTTACGGCCGTGTTTTTTATGCCAAATTTCTGGGAAATAAACAACTATTTGTGTTATACAGTGTTTATCCTAAACCTTACAGTATAAAATACAGTACTAATAACATAAAAAGTAAAGTAAAAGATGAAATACCAAAATAAAACAATAAAATAAATTCGTTACAAAAATGTTTTGTTGATATTCAGTAGTAAAGTTCGACTTACGACCGGTTTCTCGGAACCGAACTCGGTCGTAAGTCGGATGGTAGGTGTATATGAATTACTATCAATAATTTAAGATTTACATTGGAATAACATTACACACTGTACTATGGTTATAAAAAAAGGGTACAATAAATATGAAAGGTATTAAACTTTATTGTTTAATAACGATATACAATGTTTAGAAAGGAATCACCGAGTTACAATAGCACACGGTGCTCAGTTTTACCTGCATAGCAGTTTTTTGAAAGTTTACATTTTTAAGTACTTTAAGAGTGAGAAATGTTAAATGTATTCTAATCTAGTGATTGAATTATCAAACTTGCTTGAAAAATTCATGTTTGCTAACATGGGAAATAAGGCTGAAAAAAAATAAATTTCAGCCCAGAGAAAAAGAGCTTTCAGCTAGTACTTAGAGATCTATATTGGAGGAATGAGAGAGGACAAAAACCAGATCAGTCCAACATTTACTTCTCATTCATTAGATGTACAACATGGTCATAAGAATCAATGACAAAAGTATAAAAATAGAGAAAATTTGTACAAGACTAAGACAAGAGAATCAAATTTAAAAACTAGATGACAAAATGTAAACTAGGAGATCAAGATACTATATTCAATGACTTTAATGAGAATAATTTAAAAATCACAACTATCAGACATTCACACAAATAAAACAAATTTTATCAACATAAAAAATCCCATGGACACAGATCTGTTTATAACTAACTTATAATCAATGGGTTATAATTAACCGGTGAGCATTAACAAGCCATACATTTTAAATAAATTAAAATTTAGCCACATTCTCAGCAGGCCGAGATTTTAATTCAGAATTTTATGCAGTAAACCCTCTTATAAAGAAACAATACATAAAGTAAGTATATCTAATAAAAAAAAGGCATCCTCTTTTGCATAGGGAAAAAACTTGGTAGCCTTGATAATTTGCTCCATATACGTAGGAGCATCAAGTGCAAAATCTCAAGTCCACATCATGAATTTCTCGCCCTGCATCTTATATTAGGACCAGGGTTGTGTTTGGAAGTACAGCTTCTCTCCTCACACCACCTACAGTTGCTTCCTGGGAGTATCTTATGATTTGGTTAAGTATATTTTTTTTTTATCTATCTTTTCAACATCGTCATCTCTTCTCGGGTTATTAACCATGGCACACGAAGAAAACCAGTGATATTGGTGCCAGGAATAAGCATTGAAGAACAATGAAATTTTTAGATATACCTCAAAATGATGCAAATATATCACAGGCTGTCTGTACTTTGTTAGAGGGACTCTGCCATCCATTTTATGGCAAGAAGAGAGATTATGCATCAAGTAATGCAGTGTGTGTGACATGAACAGAAGGTCAAAGAGGTTAGTACTGCTAAATTGGAATATTGTTACAGTGTGGATTGAAGAGAAAAAGGAAGGAGCCCCACTTAATGCTCAGAGTAAAAAAAACTCATTCATGCTATAAAACTGAGGAGCTGCCTTCCCTGTTATTTAGTGTTGGATGGTTTGAAAACTTTAAAAATCTCAATTAGCTTTATAACAAGGTTTAGTGACATGTGTCAGCTGATCACAATGCTGCAGGAAACTTTCTGGCAGTTATACAAGCAATTCCACGTTATTCGTAAAAGTTTCAGAATTTTTTAATGAAAAGAATCTTGACAAGTATGGAGGCATTGATTTGAAGAGGATATTGAAGTAAAGCAATCATGACTTATCTTCAGATGCATAAGTACAACAGGGCAAAACAGATTAAGAATTACAGAATAGTGTACTTGAGCACTCCTGTGCAAGCTTTAATTACTGACAGTTACCCACATCAAGAACCACAGCCATCCACCACAGTCAGCCCAGCTGGGTCGATCTTATCAACTCTCTCCACCCACTTTCATGCTAATAACAGTAACAACTAGAATTGAGAAAATGCAGTAATTTGTACCAAGAATATTAAAAACAGTGGTTTAACAAAATTTTTGGTTTCTGGTACACAACCCTATTTTTTGCCCCACGTTCTTTATTTTATATATCGCCATTTTACGTAAGGTGCCAAATTTAAAGAACTCATTCTGTGTTACAAGAGGGTTTACTGTATAATTAATAAGACTCAATAAGAATTTCAGATGTCCAAGATTCATTATGCCAAGTATCAGATCATTCCAATGGATTTAGGACCAAGGGAAAATTATTATTAATAAAAGTTGAACAAGCTATGCCACCAGCTCAGCCAGCTGAGCTACAGAGCACAAGTTGTTTGGCGTGTAGCTGCATTTTTTGTTAAATCCACCAATACTGGAATGAAAATTATCACAGCTATTACTAAGTGCAACACACACACACACACACACACACACACACACACACAGGCTGTCACTATCAAAGACATTTTCTCTGCATAAGGAATCTCAATTAGCTTTTATGAAATGTAGTAAACTATACATTGTAAAATATTAACTACAATACTACCTATCTAGATGAATCACAACCACAACAAAACCTTACACAAAAGTAAGCTGCCATGCAAGTTCCTAGCCAACTTAAAAATGTTAAAAATTATATATACACAACTTGATCATTCATTCATTTTGCATTCTACCTCATGCTAATAAAATAAAAAAAACTCAATTACACCAGCATACAAGCACTTCACCTGGTAATATCTACATAAACTAAACAAGCATTTCTAACTGTTTTGCACTCATAATTTATTATAAAAGGAAATAGCTTTGAGCAAAGAAAACAGACGAGCATTTTAACATGTGTTAAGCAAACTTGAGAGGCAACCTCAAGTACATAAGGCACAGTATGTGATATGATCATTTAATGATTCCCAGAGCATAACCATTAACTACTATTTAAAAATGATTAAAGTGGAATCACATCACATTTTGAAGTGCAACTGGTAATGGTGCCACTTTAGAAATTTTGAGAGAATCTAGTAAATAATTAAGAACTAAATCCAAAACAGCAGTAACATCCTCCAGACTGTCATGCCCCCTACATCCATTTTTTTGAATATCTCGCCCAAGATATCTCTTCACCAATGACTTCAATGACTGCTTATTTACAACTGGCCCTACTGACTGAGAATTTTGTGGAGCCTTGAAGAATAAGGCAGTGTCTATAACATTGCGGTGAACCATACGGAGAGCTGCTAGGTCACCTTCAAGACTGTGACCAATAAGGATGGTTGAACCTGACACCAGATTCAATATCTTTTCACGAGCTTCTGTAAACAACAGAGCTTGATTCATGTGTCTGGCAGTAATGCCAGAGAATTGTGTATTGTAATCAAACACCTGCCCCATGGGCTTTACATAGAGATCTAGTAATACATTTCCAGTAATACTTGCCAAGGTAACTCTTGCCAATTCAAATCCCTCTGTGGTGAAGACCATCTCGCAATCTAAACCCAGTACTTTTTTTCCTCCTCCTCCTCTTGTAGGAATAAACCCATCCAAAGGACCATTTACACCTAACTTTAAATTATGATACACATGCATGGGAACTCTGGTACATCCTTGTACTCCTTTCATCTTGTTACAGCACAAATAATGTAGCTGGCCATCTTTCCTTATTGTCACTTTCTTGGGGTGATACTGACATGCTCTACTTCCATTATCCATTACATCAAAGGTTTGCTTACATCTCTTACATTTTTCAATAAGTTTAAAATTTCCAAAGCTTTCCCTTTCACATGTAAAATTAGTATCAAAGTTCGTGCAGAAATTCACATCCATGTCACTATTAGTATATAGAGTCTCATAATCACTTCACTATCTTTGCTATCTGTACTAATACCTGAGGAAGTTTCCTGGCAGTCATCATGGTAGCTGTCACTGTTACTCTCATCAAGAGATTCTGGTTCAGAATAATCAGCAATGCCAACATCAACAATTTTGTGAATATCTGCCTCTTGCATCTTATTCATTTCAGCACTCACAAGTTCACAACCCCCGCTTAATACTCCAGCTAATGTAGTATATCCAATTGCTTTGAATACAAATACACCATGATTGGTAACATAAGGGTAGCCATTAAGCACTCTGTCCTCCATCCCACAACAGAGTGGAAGTAAGAACTCATAGAGCTGGTCCTCTGTCATGTCAAGTGTGTCGAAGAGCACTTGGGTACTTTGGCTACCAACCTTTGATGCCCCACCTTGACTGCAAGACACAATTCCTTGACCTTTACATTTCTTGTTCTTATTCTTACGTTGTCTCCGAGACATTTTGAAATTATGGGATGCCATCAAACAGTCTTCTGTGTCCGAAGGGGCGTTACTGGTGGCAATGTGACTGCTGCTGCTAACAGATGAAGTGTCAACCTCCTCCAAGCTGCTGTTGCTGCTGCTGCTGCTGCTGCTGCTGCTGTTACTACTGCCAACTTCAGACATGCACAAGTCCATGGTGTGCTCCAGAATGAAATTACAGTTCACCTTCCCAAATCTTCCACCAGGATCAAAGCGTCCGCCACTTCCAACTGCAGAAAACACAGTGAACTCTGCTTAATGAAAGGTTAAGAAAAAACAAAACTTAAAACTGTAATGTGCCTGTAAATCTAGTCAAAGATAATATGAAATGAAATTTAAATTTCATTAAGCAGAGTACACTGTATTAACCCTGCTTGCTTACAATACAACAGCAATCTACCAAATTCACATGTAATAAAAAAAAAAAGCCAATGATCAAATATTCTGAAGCTACATAATTTTATAGAAGAGAAGATGCATTACATAGGGATAGAAAAATCAGCCTTCAAGGCCTAGAAATTATTATATACCTAGTCTAGACCATGCTATTTACATCAGATTAACTAATTGTACACCAGTAATAGTTACTGACTCAATCTTAGCAATAACAACATTTTAACAGTATCCAACATACTTGTACAAAGGTGATGATTGTGCCCAATGTACTAGTCCGCACAATTTTTCATGTGCTTTCAGATACTCTACCTGCAAATATTTTTTTTTTTACCTCAGCTCAATTGTGTGGGTTGGATACAACCTCCTCAAGCTTTTGAAAAAAATCTAAGGATAGGCAAGCCCACCCAGTACATCAAGCATTATCACTGCCTAACTCAAGTAAACAATGAAGCCAGGACCTGTTCCACTACCAGCTTCCCTACCAGCAAACGATGTGGAAACTGTCAAGATGCCTTATTCATTCCAGATTTATGACAATTTCATGATAAAAATGGAATTCAGCAAATAAGCACACTATGTTGATTTAACCTAGGGTAATGCAATGACTTGTGACTTATTTCCACAAGTGTTGCGGCTTGAAACAACTGTAATACAGTGGAACCTCTGCTTACGAGTGCCCCACCAAGTGAGTTTTTGAGGATACAAGCAGTCATTCGGTTGATTTTTTGCTCCTGGATACGAGCCAAAATTCAAGGGAGGTTCTGTGATGCTGGTGAGGGGGCTCTTGACCTAGGGAATTGTATCTGTGCTCCAGTTCCCTAAATTAAGCCTGAATACCTTCCATCCCCTCCCCCCCACAGGCGCTGTATAATCCTATGGGTTTAGCACTTCCCCATTACAGTGGACCCTCGACTAAAGCTATTAATCCGTTCCTGAGAGCTCATCGTTAGTCAAGTTAATTTTCCCCATAAGAAATAATGGAAATCAAATTAATCCGTGTAGGACACCCCAAAGTATGAACAAATTGTTTTTACCACATGAAATATTAATTTTAATACACACAAACTGAAGAAGACATGCACAGTTACATGACACTTACCTTTATTGAAGATCTGGTGATGATTGTTGGGATGGGAGGAGGGGAGAGTGTTGATGGTCTTAGTGTTTAGAAGGAGAATCCCCTTCCATTAGGACTTGAGGTGGCAAGTCCTTTTCTGGGGTTACTTCCCTTCCCATTAAATCTCTCAAACCAACCTTTGCTGGCCTTAAATTCACTCACATCACCACTAGTTGCTGGCATTTTTTTAATTAAATCGTCATGCAACTTCCTAGCCTTTTCACATATGATCGCTTGAGAGATGCTATCTCCTGCTATCTGTTTTTCGTTTATCCACACCAATAACAGTCTCAACATCTTCGAGTACTTGCGATCTCAGTTTCGAAAACATAGTTGCACCTTTGGCAAGAACAGCTTTCTTGATTGCCGTTTTCTTGGCCACAATAGTAGCGATGGTTGATTGGGGTTTTGTGTACAACCTGGCCAGCTCGGAGACACGCACTCCACTTTCATACTTAGCAATGATCTCTTTCTTCATATCCATAGTAATTCTCACCCTTTTTGCTGCAGGGTTGGCACTAGAAGATTTCTTGGGGCCCATGGTGACTTATTTTGCAGGTGCAATCACTAAAAAGGCTGTGATAACATGAAATGTTCCGATTGTATGCTTGGAAGCGACCGCGGTGGCTGGCTGGCTTGTAAACACTGGCCAGAAGTGGACGCATCTGACGGAACAAATAGTGTTGGTCGAGTTTTTTAGCGCTAGTCGAGGCAAAAATTTTGCGTTAAAATGTATGGCTAGTCGGATTTATCGTTAATCGATGCCATTGTTGGTCGAGGGTCCACTGTATAAATAATATGTATAATAACAACAATAATTATGTATAATAATTTCAGAACGCCGCCACTATATGGCACAGTGAATACCACAACAACGCTTACCATCACCACTGCACGTGCTTACCTCGTGGTGGAAGGATTTCTCTCGTGTTTTGCTGACGTTTCATGCAGTTATTGTGCCAAATTTCTTTTTTCTAACCATGGGTTCTAAGAAAGTAAGTGCAAAGGACATTGCTGAGAAGAAAAAGAGGATGATGTCCATGGAAGTAAAGCATGAAATCATAGATAAACACAAGCAAGGGGAAGCATGGGAAGATGTTTTCAGAGTGGGAATGGCTGCCACCACTTGTCACGTAATGACATTTTATTCATTCTAGAGTATATGTCAGGTTTCTATGTTATTTATATTGTTTATCATGTCATATTCGATGAACTGTGATAGATAAATAAGCCGTAGAGTTGATGATATTGTTATATTGAGAGCAGGAATTCTGCTGGAATAGATTAATGACATTTCAATTAATTTAAATGAGGAAAATTGACTCAGCAGACGAGCAGATCAGGTTACGAGCTAGGTCAAGGAACGAATTAAATTCATAAGCAGAGGTTCCACTGTAGTATAAGATTTCCTTGTAAAGATGTTTTACAGTGTTCTGAAAGGCACATGCATAGTATGGATAAAAAAAAAAGTATCAAATTTATATAACCCAGGATATTCCCTCAAACCTACATCCATAAATAAGTAATAGCTTGGTTGATCATGCCCTGATCCATCATGAGGCCTGGCCATGGACAGAGCTATGGGGGCATTGACTCCCAGAACACCATCCATGTAGACTCCAGGTTACATGTTGAAACAATTTTAATGTTATTTGCTCCAATTTACACTATATTCTATGTTGGAGGAATAACAAGCTGTACATTTCCCCATGTTTAAGTCCTAAAATATCTTGAAACACATTTAATATCATAAAGTGTGCCTAAACACTAAAAATATAAAAAAGCTGAAAGGTATTCAAAATTTGGCATCAATAAATGGTAAACTTAAAATATTACTGGTGCATTTATGTTCACTGCCAAGTGATCATTTTTATGGCAACTTCAACACCCCATAAAATCTTAAGTTTGTATTTTATTCCACATGGTCTTAATCAAAAACAATGCACTTTCAATCTGCAAAACAAAAGGTATAGATTTTTCTGACTAAGAACTTAAAATTGGTTTCTTCATACATGTAACTTTCTTCTATTAACCCTTTCACTGTCCAGACCCCAGAGATTGACCTATAAACGGTCCAAATGTATATATACATTCTTACCAATAGTGCCTCAAATGTATATATATGTTTTATTTTTCCTGCCTCCAAATTTGGCACGCTTGTCCTGAGATGCCTCGTCAGCATATAATGGGTCTTAACACTCTCTGCATGCACTATTAAAAAATCTGGGACCACTTAGTACCTTGTGGAAGCATCAGTTAAATTGAGCATCAGCTAGAGTAAGCAGCGCAGCAAATACCAAAGATTCACTGATGTCATGTCGTATTAACACTCCCCTTTTAAGATGAAAGTGATGTTGACCCAAGTTTAGTGGCTTTGAGGTGGATGTGGCCACAAGTGGTCGAGAAAATATCAAAAACCTCGATAATAACCCGTGTGCAACACTTGTGCAACACCCTTTCAGAATGTCTTATAACCTATACCCTAAGTAAAGAGAAAATTCTGGAACGTGTAATAAGTGTTCAGCAGGCCATCTGACTGGCTGCCTGGCCAACTGGGTGGCCGGCTGATGGCTGGCTCTATCTGTGTGTCTGTGTGTCTGTGTGTCTGTGTGTGTGTGTCTGTGTCTGTGTGCGCGTGTCTCGTGTGTGTGTGCGCGTGTCTCGTGTGTGTGTGCGCGTGTCTCGTGTGTGTGTGTGCGTGTCTCGGTGTGTGTGGGGCGTGTCTCGTGTGTGTGTGTGCGTGTCTCGTGTGTGTGTGTGCGTGTCTCGTGTGTGTGTGTGCGTGTCTCGTGTGTGTGTGTGCGTGTCTCGTGTGTGTGTGTGCGAGTGTCTCGTGTGTGTGCGAGTGTCTCGTGTGTGCGAGTGTCTCGTGTGTGCGAGTGTCTCGTGTGTGCGAGTGTCTCGTGTGTGCGAGTGTCTCGTGTGTGCGAGTGTCTCGTTGTGTGCGAGTGTCTCGTGTGTGCGAGTGTCTCGTGTGTGGGGAGTGTCTCGTGTGTGCGAGTGTCTCGTGTGTGCGAGTGTCTCGGTGTGCGAGTGTCTCGTGTGTGCGAGTGTCTCGTGTGTGCGAGTGTCTCGTGTGTGCGCGTGTCTCGTGTGTGCGCGTGTCTCGTGTGTGCGCGTGTCTCGTGTGTGCGCGTGTCTCGTGTGTGCGCGTGTCTCGTGTGTGCGCGTGTTCTCGTGTGTGCGCGTGTCTCGTGTGTGTGTGCGCGCGCGCGCGCGTCTCGTGTGTGTGCTGTCCGGGTTCGTGTGTGTGTGTCGTGTCTCGTGTGTGTGTGCGTGTCTCGTGTGTGTGTGTGTGCGTGTCTCGTGTGTGTGGTGCGTGTCTCGTGTGTGTGTGTGCGTGTCTCGTGCGTGTGCTGCGCGCGTGTCTCGTGCGTGTGCGCGCGCGCGTGTCTCGTGTGTGTGTGCGCGCGCGCGCGTCTCGTGTGTGTGCGTGTCTCGTGTGTGTGTGCGTGTCTCGTGTGTGTGTGCGTGTCTCGTGTGTGTGTGTGCGTGTCTCGTGTGTGTGTGTGCGTGTCTCGTGTGTGTGTGTGCGTGTCTCGTGCGTGTGCGCGCGCGTGTCTCGTGCGTGTGCGCGCGCGCGGCGTGTCTCGTGTGTGTTGCGCGCGCGCGCGTGTCTCGTGTGTGTGCGCGCGCGCGCGTGTCTCGTGTGTGTGCGCGCGCGCGCGTGTCTGTGTGTGTGCGCGCCGCGCGTGTCTGTGTGTGTGCGCGCGCGCG